GGAATAGAGAGGAAAGGACGGTAGCTGTACTGGGGCATAGGAGGTGGGTTGAAAAGGCGGGAAGGGATATCGTTAGGATAGACAGACTAGGGAAGACATTTTTGAGCCACCTTTGGCAAAGTAGGAAGGAACGATTGGCCATCGGTGATCGGTCCTGTGGGAACAATGCTCCGTCCTCTCGAGGACGCGTGGTCAATGGTCTAACCGCTAAGACATGCAAAACATAAGAGTACGCCCCCCCCCCCCACCCCCTCGCAGTGCCCCCGATGATGTGTTGTGTCGTTGTAAGTCATTTGTTTGTGTGGTGTCGCGTTATTTGTTTCCTAGAAAGGTGTACCCCCTGTTGGCGTGGTTGACTTGTGACCACGGAAGGCATCCGCGTCAATTGGACCGGTACGGACATTCAAAGGTGCTGAGCGGAGACCGGAACGGTTTTTAATGTGAAGGCAAGAAGAAGAAGAACAACAACCGTTCATGACGAAATGGGCAGAATCGGGCGCGATGCCTTGGTGTCTAGCTGACTGCTACGGGAACACCCTTGCGGCAAAGAACGAACTACCATCGTCTCTGCAGAGGTTTTTTGTGATTGAGCTCGCTCGAAAAACTTCCAAGATAACTGGCCTCTATTGATGCCGGGAGGATCGCTGCCAATCCCACTGCCAAAAATGATGTTCCTGTGTTCCTACAAAACCGATGGCTATTTCGTGAAGGGCAGCAATGAAGGCCTCGGACATGCAAGCGACTTCGACGTTAACACTCGAGTCCTCACAACATATTTGATCAATTCAAACGCTCGTGCATCATGTTCCCTGAGCCAGCGCCGAGTTGGTAACGCAGAGTTGATCACTGCTATCAAACATCAAGCAAGACTGCCTGATGTGTCTGATTCTCATGCACTGGTTCCAAGACGCAGTACGTGTTTCAGGTAATAATAGTCATCGTGGTGAACACTGAATAATTTGAATGATTGACTTCCGTTCGCCTGGATGTCATCAGGTCAGAAACCCTTTGGCTGCGCAACTACAGCAGGGCAGACTTCTGGCAAAGAAGGTGAGACTAACCGATTTGGTAGTATCAAGGGTTTAGATTAATGAGTGGGCACCGAAACGGCCTTAGTACATATCTCAACTCATTTTCCCACCCGCGTAGCTTTGAATTTGCTACCCGGGGGTATTTTTCCTTTTGTGTGAATTGCCTGCCTTTATAATGCGAATTCATCACCGCCTCCCCTCGACTAGTGAATTAACAAAAAAAAACGCTTCCTACGACGGTGTCGGCTTGACATTGGTGGAGCTACAGAGGCGGAACGCAAACTCTGAGGCCGAACCGTCAGGAAGGTGAATCGACCTCCCCCTCACGTAAATATTTTCAACCATGGCACCAGTTGAGAGCTGATCCCGACGTTTCGATTTTCCCGATGAACGCTCGTATGTTTCACCCACCTGTGCTAATCTATCTGCAACACATGAACCAGGTGAGTACGACAGTGGCTACGACGTGAGCAGGCGGAACATGATCAAGGCGATTGCTGATCTCTACAAGGAGGAGATGAGAAGACAGGTTAGTGTAGGAGAGGTGGTGTGGAGTCGCTGCGTCCGCCAAGGGAGTTTGTTTGTTTTTTGAAGTTCTTTTTCATGCTCGAAGATCCCGTCTAAGACGAAACAAGATCAGCATCTAGAGAAGTCGAATTGGCAACGAAGAATGAAAAACATGGATGTGTGTGTTCGACCCCATTTACTTTGGTGCCAGTCTCTCTCGTTGTATCAGCCGGGGTCACAGGTAGGAGTTCACACAGGACCCTTGTGTGCCCGACCTGTCCTCCTGCGATGCTTTTCTTAAATTTAATCGCGAAAAGGGGTCAGCCATCCTTTCCCTCGTCGATCGTGATGTCCAAGTTTGTGTACTCACGAAATATTTATCGTTGGCCACCACTGCAAACTGTGAGCAAAGAAAACCTTCCAGAGAGAGAAACGAGCCCACAAAATCTGCTTCTAGTAGGTTTGCGCGGTGTAGTACCACCACGGGGCGACCGGCTCTGATACTTGCTGAAAAAGAAAGTCACCACTCAACACTAACTACGGTGGGATAGGGAAAGTGAAAGAGAGAAGGGGCACGAAAAGCAACAAGTACCCTTACATATAACTCCGATTAAGCACGCGGGCGGCGCATTGAAAATTGGGGAAAGTACGTGTTGATAGATGCTCAGAGGTAGGGAGGTCATGTCACCAACCCAGTGCCCTGGGAGTCATAAATCCTCTGGGTTTGTGCCGTTGTCATTGTTTCCTGTTCGGAGCACCCTCAGGCACGTAAAAACCCTCATGATGCCCCGGACCTCTGGAGCTGGACCCCACGGGGTTCGGCCACTCATCTAAGCCTTAAAAAAAACTGTTCAATGTTGGTTGAGGACTGTTTCTTGTGTTCCATCGCCTCTTTTCTTTGGCCATGTCTTGTTTCGAAACACTTGCGTGTTTCTCTGCTGTCCGATGTCCGGTAACCGACGGCAAGCTGAATGCGGCTTCCGTAGTCAATGGGCACGAGCAACTTTATGCTTCGCGAGTCTTACGGTACCGGCAGGCCTGTGACAAGCAACTCGGATGTTTGTAGGCAAGAATACGGTGGCTCTCAATTGAAATCGTTGGAAAGACAGCCACCGAAATGAAGAACAACCGGACGGCAGCAAAGCTTGTAAGAAAGACAGACGAAGAGATGGGGTGCGAAAAGTAAAACAATCGGCGTTGTCTAGGTCTCTTCTCGGCGATGTTTTTCGGGGGGGGGGGGCGTCCGGGGCTCTCCCTCAAAGGGTACCACAGCGAATAGTATGGTGTTGTGTGGACCACGTATATAGGAGGGAACGGCCGAGGCGAGACGTATCTCCTCAACGTGTAAAATTTATGCTGGGCACAATTGATGATGTTGGCTGGAAAAGACTAAAAACTGAACATGTCTGCATGTTTAGGGAAAATATGCACCATAAACCCAACAATGCGACAGCAAGAGTCAGTTTCTAGTCTCAGGGGACAAGTTGACCACCCTTTGCTATAATCCCACGCACCCACTCCACACGTTACAATAATCTTACTCTTCATATTACCACAAAGATCATCAAATCTACCGCTGATAGGTTCTGTCAGTTGTTCACAACGCTTCATGTTCGCGCTCTCGAGCGCTGAAACGTCAGCAGTTCAGTGTGGCAGGCTATGCTCTCCCGTCGGGAACTGTTCATCCGTTCTAAAACAACCGAACGCCGGCTATGCTTGACATTCTTGTTCGACCCGCTCCTACCTGTTCTCTCAGAGAGCAAGGTTTCCATGGACCTGAGGGGCACGTCATTCTGCGGCGCAGCTTCCCCAGGACGTTGCTGAATGTGTGAAAATCGAGTCTTTTTCGCACACACATCCCCACTCCGCTCTTGCACTCTTCATCCTTTTTTACCACACCAGTTAAAGAACTGTCACCGCTTCCGTAAGCCACACAAGCGCGTGTGCCTGACCTTGCTTTCGGGTATCCTCGTCAGGGCCCTAACCATAGCTTCCCGGGTTACTTGTCTATGCGTTTATAGTGTCTTTCTCCCCACCGCTTACACTCCACGACCAGTCTCCTCCCCATGTTAGTGAACTGAATCGTGTTAGTGCATTCCGCGCCTTGAAGCAGAGTTTGGGTTCGAGTATGGGGCAATGTTGACTAGCCCAGGACCGAACGATGACGACATCAAACCTTGCTTGAGTGCTCCTTGCAGTACTCAAAACACCGCACATAGACAACGAGACAAGGACACGAGGAGTTTACACGCTCAAGTGCGTGCTCGGTCTCGGGGGGCGCGCGCTTGAGTCCCCCCACAGTATACCCCTCCCTCCCCCCACATTATCCCCAGATCGGATGTCGTACCGACGTACCACACCCCATTCTAATGAATAGTATTCACCCCGTTATACGTAAGCATGTCGTCGTAACACTCCCTGTTTCTCGTCGTTGTGCTTGTATACTTTGTCCTTCGACGTAACCACATGTCCTATCATGTTCGCGATCTGTCCACGCAGGATGTTTCTTTTCGAAACCTGGCTGCGCATAGTGGACTACACCATGGTTGACGATGCTAATTTCTGTCATGATTCGGCGTAAGCTGTAGCTCGGTGCTAGGTAGCGTTTGTTTTTCGTGGTGGCACCCATTTAGTGCTTTAGTCGTAATTTCATGCCAATGCGCGCATGCATGCATATGTCACAATTACGGGTGCCTTTTTGAAAGTAGGTTGGAACCGATCCATTGACGGTGGCGACTTAGGCTACCTAAACATGTTGTCATCAAGACACACATGGCACCGTGAAGCAACCCAAAACCTACGTGTATAAGGTGGTGGTTGGTGTTACTGGCATCGAGATGGCAAAGTATACGGTATACATGAAAGGTTTTAGTTAGGTTTACGCAGTATATTGCATTTTGGTGGTCAGAGTTCATTCACAACCTGGACGTTCCCCGCCGAGTAGCTTTTTCATTTCCCGACCGACCCCTCCACCGGTTTGAGTTGGCCCTCGGGCCGTGCTAGTCCATCGCGTAGGATGAACCTCCCTGCCCCCCTGGCTAAGTTATTTATTCTTACACCCCAGTCAGAAGTTGAGAGCGGACGGGAGATACACATCTGTTCTCATCTGTTCCCAAAAATGTTGTCCTCTTTCATAGACAAAATAATTCGACGACTGTGGAAATCATTTTGATGTGCTGCTCTCTCCTTTCGTTCCGTTCTGACGAGGGCATATTCCCTCTCTTGAATCTTCTGCAATACATGACAGGATATGGTAGCAACGCCTCCCGGGGTATGGGGCATTGAGCTAACGGGTCTGCTGGGGGAGAGCCAACTGCCCTCACGTTCAGAAGTCCCTTGAGATGTGTTCTGCTTGTACAGTGCAAGCATCCATCTATAACTAACAACAATAGAGATTTGAATCATGTTCTGGTACTCGAAACACTCTGGACGTGCGTGTGCATTGTTTTTTCTCGGTCACGTGCATTGTACCCCGTCTGTGCGGTGGCTTGTGACTGCAGAAACTCGCGTATAGTCCTCAGAAGTTACCACTAACCTGAGGTGATGGACGTACATTAGATGACAATCTGCACGCTTGCCTCTTCCTTGTGGCGATGTTTCTTTTGCTGGGTTCAGGAAGATATGAGCATGGAGGATGCTATACTGTGCGATAACGGTCCTAAGGAGATATCGATATTCTTCCACGAAAACCCAGAAGTGAAGATCGTGGACCTAGCTCAAGATCATCGGAATAACAACGATTGTCTGTAAGTCGACCATGTGTGTGATTATTTTTTTGAACATTCCCTGCACAGGAACTTGGTATGCTCAAATCATCGTCAAAATTTTGACACCGAATCGTGAGACATGAGATGCAATCCTTACCGTGTAACCATCACCCATTCGCCTTCTTTCGATTGCAGCGTCCTTAACATCAATTCTCCGGATGTTTCGAGTAAGGTGGTGCTCAAGTGCGACGGGAGCATCAGCGGCGATGATTTTGGATGGGGAGAAGATTGGTGATTCAAGTAGAGAGCTGAAACAAGTCTCAACTGATTAGAAATGGAACAAGCCCAACTGAACTGGGTCCTCGTTGCCTCGCTTTGAAGCAAACAAGCACCCACCCGCCTCGGTGAAACCCGGGGGATAAAAACGCCTTGCAGGCCAAGCAACACAACCAGGAGCTCTATTGGCCCGGCCGCACCAGCAAGCAAGTACCAGTGGCAGAGGAAAGGAAGACGATGAGGTTTATGGATGCTACGGGTAACTAGGGTTGATTGGCCCGCCTCAATTTCAGCTTGCAGTAGTTCAGAGGAGGCCGGATATGCTTGTCGTAGACAGCGCGTCTTTTTTCTCATCAACCTTGGCTACGGCAAGAGACGCCCTATTTGTCGGCCTTGTTTGGCAAGTCAGGGAGTAGTGTGCAGATGGATCGGACGCCGGTCCAAGTCTTGAAAACAATGGTGTTGTGAGAGTAGTATGCGTCTCCGTCCACGTATGTATGTGTCGTCTCTCGCCAGCTTCGTTCATGGAAGATGAGGCAGCAAGACTAGGGTACGGGTGGCGGGTGTGACGTCGCAGACAGATGAAACGGATGGATGGCTCCGACGCACCGTTTGGTAATTAATGATCACAGCCAACGCACAACAATAAGAGAGACTCGAACCCGGATTAACATGTCTCGGATAGCGAAGATCCCACAGCGATCAGGGCAGGCTTCAAAGAAGCCTACAGATGTTGTGCGTAGAGCCAGCCTTCAAGGTTTGTGGCGACCCGACCATCATGGCGGGAGCACGCTGTGGTGATGTGGGGTGAGGTCTGTCTGTCTGTTGGAGAATTTGGGTGCGGTTGCTTGGCAAACGGTGGCGGCGGGGATGGCCATCGAAAATAAATCGTAGTCCCAACTACGGTTGCCTATAAGATCATCAGTCTTGCGTGCGTTGACTTCATTTCTGCGCACACCCTTGATTGTGGATATAATTTTACTTCTACAGACATCACAGGCGTTTTGATGCCGTCGTACCAAAAGGTGGCTGATTGGAGGCAGCCCTAACCACAGAAGTTTTGGAAGGGTGAAGTGACTCAATGCTGCTGTGTTTTTTAGTTTTGCTCACGAAATTCCAGGCCATTGCCTCTTGGCGATGCGCGTGAGCACTTCCTCTAGAGTCTAAGAGACCGTTACGGTCTATATAGGTCTCACATAACTGTAAGAGAAAATGTTATGAATGAGTGAATGAATGAATTAAGGATCACGTTCAGTCCGGAGGCCTCAGCCTACGCGCCCTTGCCCCTCCCTTCGATGTGCATAGACCAGAGAGCGACTGCTTCCAATGTAGTTGCCTCCGCCGCTTGAACACCGTATTTTTTTGGACCAACGAAACAGCTCACAGCTGCCCAGTCAACCTAAATTTTCAGGATTAAAGACCAGAGAGAAAACGCCCTGAGTTGATCCCCTAGGGCAGTCTCCCCGGGTGTGCGGGGAGATATTAGACCTCTAAGCCCCCATAGAAAGGGGTAGAAGAAGACAGGAGATGAGTATACTTGCTATCTTCAGAGGTCAACAGAGGCCCCTGATGTGGAAACAAGGGGGCACCATCAGCATAACCAATTTCCATGTCCGAGTTCTCAGCAGAGCCCGAACTACAGGTGGGGACCACACTGCGCTCAAGGTCCGCACACAAGCATGAGGATAGAGTGAGACCCCCGGATAGCGACCCCCTGTTTAGCGACGTGCCCTGTTTAGCGACCCCCAAATCTCGTGACACCGCTGCACCCCGGTTTAGTCGCTGAACCGGTCGAACCCTCAATAGCGACTTATTGGGCTGTTTTCATCAGGCAATAGCAACCATCGGTTCAAATTTTGGGGAGACCCCGCGTTCCACACATAAAAACACAACACCGCGGGGCACGTACGCACACGCAACATGCCGCGCGCCGATTGGAGAGTTGTGCAAACAGCCGGATGTTGAACTGCGGACACCCCAGGGGCATGTTTGCGATGGTGGCTACGGTGGATGCCTGCACCAAATGTGTGAGGAGGTGGAGCATCGATGGATGCACCGCACCTGCCACGAGTGTGTATTCAAGAACATGCAGGCTTCCCCACCCGTCTCGAATCCACACAAACGCAAAGAAAGATAGAGGTAGATGGAGAGATGGCGGTGCGGGGGTGGGGAAGCAATGGAGCCGCCGCCCTACTCGAATTTTTCGTCGCATTTTGGATCGCCAGAAGAGTGCGTGGAGTCGTGCGGGTGAATGGAGGCAGCGTACTATCTTCGCAAGGCAAAAAGGTGTTGTTCATCGAAGCACAGAGTGTGGACGCGTACGGCCGCGACATTATGAACAACAACGGAGAACGACTCCTTGGACTGGCATCAGACAACCAACTCTCCCTGACCAACACCTACTTCCGGACACCGAAAGGTGGAGTGCAGCACACGATCCAGAGCTCCAACAAGGGGAAGGAAACATACCACCTCAACTTCATCCTCATGCGTCAGACGGACCGGCGTTTCGTGCGTAACGTCTCCCTCAAACGTGTCGGCTTCAAGGACTCACCACAACCTCGTGCTTACGACTGTCCGCCTCCCCCCCCGTGTCGCACCCAACCTACGAGTGCGGGGGAACAGCGGAAGCAGCCGGATCCGTATCGACCTCGAACGGTTGAGGAAGGGCGAACACCTAACCGGTCGCCCTGGTGGTCTAGTGGGTAGCCTCGCAGTCTGCTAAGGGCCAGGTCATGGGTTCTAGTCCCGGCAGAGAGAGTTTTTTCTCACTAAATAAATCCTGGTCGAGGATGAAAGCGACGCGCTNAACGAAGGGCGAACACCTAACCGGTCGCCCTGGTGGTCTAGTGGGTAGCCTCGCAGTCTGCTAAGGGCCAGGTCATGGGTTCTAGTCCCGGCAGAGAGAGTTTTTTCTCACTAAATAAATCCTGGTCGAGGATGAAAGCGACGCGCTGCAAAGCTCGTTTGTTAATAAGTAAACCATAATCAATCGACTTCGTAAGTCGCGAGGATTGCTGTACCCTTCTCGCGATAAAAATACCTCAGGTATGAACCGCAGGAGGGGGTCCACCCCCGCCCTCCTATGTGACCCTGGTTGGGTCGTCTAGCTAGTAGAAGTGGAGTATAGGGGCCAGAGGGGCAGACGACAGAGTCCAATGATGGGAGAAAAACA